AGGCAAGAGGAGCAGGGCGGCCACCCAGGCCACCCCGCCACCCCAAACAGACACCCACCCAGCCACCCACCCCAAATCCTGTCTGCAAAAGGTTACAGCATATCATTGGAGGGTGTGTATGAAGCATAGGGAGAGCCATTCTGGGGTCGCAGGGTGGCATTTATGCGGCAGCAGTCAACAGGGAGCTGCTGATGTGTACACCAGCCTGCTACAGGTGCAGGGTGCCGTCACATGATGGTGTAATTCGGGCCGCCCCCACCCTCGGGCACCGTCCAGCGGATGTTCTGCGATGGGTCCTTGATGTCGCAGGCCTTGCAGTGCAGGCAGTTCTGCGCGTTGATCTGCAGGTGCCGCTGCCCGTCGTCGCCGGCCACCCACTCATATACCCCTGCAAGCTCGCAGGCATCACAATGAGTGGCACGGCAAAGTGCACTCAGTGGGGCGAAACACTGCTACACAGATGGACAGACGCATGGCACAGGCAGGCAGGGTCAGGCAGGCCTGCTCACCTGCGGGGCAGTAGCGCCCCTCAGGCCCGTCGTACACCGGCAGGTTGAGCACCTCTGGGAGCTTGGAGTTGAGCAGCTGCAGGTGCGAGGGCTGGTCGTGCTCGTGGTTGGTCTGGCTCCTGCAGGGGTGCGTGCCACCAGGCAGGCGCACCAGGGGATCAGCTTGGGCGGGCTACAGAGAAGGCGGCCGCCCCTGTAGTGCTGCCACCGCCCTGCTACCAGCCTGCCCACCTAAACAGCGAGGTGTTCAGATCAAAGCAGATCTTGTTGTCGAGCTTAGGATACTCTATTGGCGTGAAGCCTGAAGCGGGCTTCAGCTTTTCATTATCACTGAACCTGCACGCAGCCAGCACAGCATCAGCAAGCTGACGCATTGTGACTCTGCACATGCCTAGCTTGCATATGGCCCAAGCCGGCGCCGCACCTATGCCTCAGGGTCCAGGGCTCCTTGCCGCGCAGCAGGTAGGCCTCCAGGGCGCTGTAGGCGAGGCCGCCCCAAAGCCCCCCCCCCAGGCCAAAGCTGGGGCGGATATTACGCTCGCGGTGCAGCTCTGTCTCAATCTGTACGGCATGCCGGCCAAAAAAGTGGGAGCTGCTGAGTTCACGGAGTCACATGACACCATCCACCAGCTGCTTGCTGTCTCGCTGATCGGCGCCCACCCAGGAGTGACGCAAGTTGGTCTCATAGGCGGACAGATCCAGCGGTGCGCCCGCCGGCTGCGAGTCCATGGCATTGAAGGCGGCCTCGGCTGCCAGCATGCCCGACTTCATGGCAGTGTGGGTGCCCTGCAGGGACATGAGGGCACAAGTGCTACAGAATTCAACGACAGCAAGTCAGGCCAAGGACAGCGGGTTGGGTGCCTGCAGCACGCACCTTGATTTTTGGCACGTTCAGGAAACCGGCAGAGTCACCAACAAGCGCCCCGCCTGGGAAGGTCAGCGCAGGGATGGACTGCCAGCCGCCCTCGTTCAGCGTGCGGGCGCCATACTGCGCGCCAGGCCATGCCAGGGAATCGGTGAGACGCATCGAATGTGTCAAATGCGCTTGCCATTGAGCATTCAGCCACATTACATGACCTGCCACCACCTACCTGCAGGCATGTGCCGCCCTCCAGCAGCCTGCTGATGAGCGGGTGCCGCTTCCACTGCTGAAACTCCTGGTAGGGGTTGAGGTAGGGGTTCGCGTAGTCCAGGGCCACTACCAGCCTGCATGGTTGTGGTTGAGGGGGAAGGTACATGACCGTAGTCGACAGCGAGTGGAGTTGGGTCCCAAGTCGCAACTTTGCCATGTCCATCCCCCTGCTCACCCCATTGATACGCGGTTGCCAGGCATGTGATACAGCCAGCTGCCGCCGTACACATCCCAGGGCAGCGGATGCCCAATGGTGTGCATCACCAGGCCAGGCACATGCTTCTCAGGTGCTACCTGCACACAAACCATCCATAACTAGGGCACCGGTTCTGTGGTTTCACAGGTGCAGATCCCGCTGATGTTCAAGCAGCCGCAGCGTAGCCAGGCGGACACCGTGGTAATGAACAGGCTGCACACCGCCAGCCTGCGCACCCACCTCCCACACCTCCTTGAGCCCCAGCGCATATGTTTGCGGTTGCGCTCCGACCTGCTCCCGTAGCTGGAAGCGCTTCATGATGTGCTGTGACAGCGAGCCACGGCAGCCCTCCGCAAACAGCGTGGCGCGCGCCGTCAGTGCCATGCCCGGAGAGAAGCTGTCCTTGCGGCTGCCGTCCTTGGCCACGCCAAAGTCGTTGGTCTGCCCATGTCCATGGGACAGGGCAAAGGGGTGGGTGGCACGATGATATGAACAGGGTAAGAGGCAGGATGGAGGCAGGGGAGGAGGCGCGTGCCGGTTGCACAAACATGCACTTTGGAGCAGCAGCGAGCAGGCCAACCAGCCCATCGATGTCCGTCAGATGCCCAGCAGCGGCGGTCGGTCACCTGCACTCCATGCACATCGCCCGAGGGCCCGTACAGTACCCTGGCACCACCAAAGCCCGGGAACACCTCCACTCCCAACTCCTCTGCCTTGCTACCCAGCCACCGCACGGCCTCGCTGCAGACTCAGGCAGGGGAGCATGAGTGCACTATTGGTGCAGGACAGCGCATTCAATCAACTTGCAACTGTGCTGTCATGCTCAGGCGGCCACCCTCGCCACCCTGCATACCTGAGGCTGATCACAAAGTTGCCCTTGTGGCTCATCTGCGGCGGGTTGGGCAACCGCAGCGCCCGCTGCTGGGTCAGGTAGTAGAATCGGCTGGCGGTGGCGGGCTGCTTGACCGGGCACTCCTCATCCTCCCGCCAGCCCGGTAACAGCTCATCCAGGGCAGTGGGCTGCAGCACGTTGCCAGACAGGATGTGTGCGCCTGCAGCAGTCGCAGCAAGAGCAGCGCAGGCGATTACCAGGTCTGAAGCGGCATGCATGCCCTTAACCAATGCGACAGTGACTCAGAACAGCACTTGCCTACTTCAGCACCCTTCTCTATCACGCAAACGCTCAGGTCCTGGCCCTTTTCCTGACACAGCTGCATGGGCAGGTTTGCATACTTGCAGGGCTTAATCGCTTGCATACGCAGCTCGCCGAACACACAAGCCAGTTGTGCCTATCCGTCTGCCGGAACAGCAGTGCCACCGCCCTGCGGCAGCGTCACTGTCTCGTCTCTTTTGCTTGCCAATACCCACCTGCTTGAACCTAATTGCCGCGGCTAGCCCTGCGGGGCCAGCTCCCACTATCAGAAGGTCGTAGTGCATTGACTCTCTGGTGTCTTGTGTCGCCAGACCACCGTCTGCGGCGGCGGCGGTAGCCAGCCCGCGCAGAGCTCCAGACAGCGCTCTTGCAGATAGAGCGATGGCTGCTGTTGATCGCGCTGCGGCCATTAAATGCTGCACAGCCATCGGGACAAGCAGCAGTGCAGATCGATGACCGCCCTTCTAGTGAACCCTGGCAGTTCAGACCCCTAGACACCTAGTAAGCGGTGTTCTTTTATGGTTGTGAAGCAAAGAAGCGTTAGGCAGCGCTTCTTGTAAGAATCTTCAGGTGTTGAGTTGGCGCCCGTCGGCAACGACACCGGCGCCACGACATCCAGGGCTGGCCCTTGACCAACAGATCTCTGCCTGCACCTCATGCTGTGGCACAACCATGTGAATGTTTTACAGCGAACACATGGCGTGCGCTTGTGTGGAGGCATCTGACCCCAGTACCTCAAGGGGGAGCACCTCGGCATCACGAGCTCTTGGCGCCCTTGCGCAGCAGTCTGACCTCGCTCACAATGCTGCGCTCGTAGCGCACAATGGCAGCCGCCACTACGGCCAGGCAGGATGCGCCCACTGCCACGTGCGCTGCTGCCAGCACAGCAAACGGTTGGCCGGCCAGCTGCTTTGCCAACGCGTCGGGCACTAGGCTGATGCCGTGCTGCCGGCCCAGCTGCACCAGCGAGGAAGTGCCTGGCAGCAGCAGCAGCCGCGCTGTGCAAGTGACGGCAGCCGCCATCGCCAATGTTGTCCCCGTCTGGCGGCTGGGCAGCAGCAGGCGCAGGTGGAAGCCAGGAACCGCAGGTACAAAGCGGCGGCGTGTGAAGGCCAGGCAATACGCGATGCGCAGCAGCATGTTGGCGCCGTCCGCCAGAATCAGGCCGCACGCACCGCCCGCCCTGACTGCCACAATGCTGAGCGCGGCATGCGCCGCGGTGAAGCCCACCAGCGCGGCGTTGTTGGCATGGAGCTGGCGCTCGTTGGCCACCGAGTGCACAAAGGCCTCCAGGATGCCGTTGGCTGCCAGCAGCACCAAGTACAGGCTGTACAGGCCCAGTGCCACGGGAGCCTCCGTGTCGGCCCACCGCCGCGAGTAGAGCACCAGCAGTGCGAGGTGCGAGTAGGCGGGCCCAAAGGCGGCGCCCAGCAGGCCCACCGTGGTGATGCAGCGCACCAGCACCGCCAACAGGCGGGCCTGGCGGCGCAGCTGGGAGGGACCTGCTGCCTTCTGGCCTGCGATAGGGAAGGAGGGGCCATCACACGGGCCCAGCAAAGAGGTGAGCAGCAAAGCGGTGACCATGGCATTAAGAGACGCCCACTCGCCTGGGTTACAAGCCAGAGGACACCTGCAGGCAGCAGGGCCCAGCACGCAGCAGCAGCACAGGCCCCACCTTGCTCCTTGCTGAAGGCCACAAAGGCAGCCTCTTCAAAGGGCTGGAACAGGGTGCGCACAGCAATCGACCCCAGCCCGTTGACCAGCCCATAGACGCCCTGGTCGTGCCCGCCCTGGAACGCAGCCACCGCCATCTTGCTGCCCTCCGCCAGCAGCAGCTTCTCAACCGCCTGCAGCAACGGTACCCAGGCAGCAGTGGGGCCCGCATGAGCGTCAGCGGCAGCACAACGATAGCAGGACAGGAGTGGCAACGACGCTCGAGCGGACGGAACAGCACAGTCGCGGGCGACGCTGTGTGAGCTGTAGCCACATGGAGCACAGCAGGCACAAAGTTAGCCTGCGTGACTTGCCTGCAGCGTGAAGGTGCCAGAGAGCCGCAGAATGTCGCGGTCTGTGCCCGCTGATGGGGCAGTGGGCGGTGGCGCTGCCGCCGGGGCCCGGCTGCTGTCCTCATTGGGCGGCTGAGCATGCTGCTGCTGCTGTGCTCGTCCTCGCAGCAGGTGCGGCAGGAAGTAGGCTGCATATCCCGCCAGCGTGATGGCTGCATAGGCTAGCTGGGCCCAGGAGAAGGCGATGGCAGGGTGCATGTCGGGGCGGCGCACCAAGACCAGCGTCAGCAGGCCCTTGGCGCTCATGGCTGCAGTCTCCACGCCCACCCGCAGGGAAAACAGCAGGCGGGTGGCAGCCAGAATGTAGAATGGCTCGGACAGGATCTCCACAAAGGCAGCCAGCCCTGCACCCGTGGCACAGGTTTAGCTGTGCTGGGAGAGAGGGCCAGTGTCGGGGAGCCAGGAACAGGGCGAGTCTGGCCCAGCTCAGCGCCCCCGGCCGCCAGCCTGCCTCACCCTGCATGACGACCGCTCGGCGGTAGGCAGCATCCCCGGCCCCAACCGAGTGCAGCAGCACAGCGGTGATGACTGTCGCCAGCAGCGCACCGAGGGGCACAGTGAGGGCTGCGATGCGCAGCACGAGGAGGGTGGCCCCCGCCGCGGTCTGCTCGACGCGTAGGCAGGCGCGGCGGAAGCCCTCGCGGCTGATGGAAAGGATGGTGGTGTTAATGAGGTGGAACTGCACTGCTGCCACCTGCAGGTGTGGGACAGCACACCAGACAAAGGTTGCAGCAGCATGAAATGGAGTCGCAGCTAACCATGTGCGCAGCCACGGCAGCCAGCGCCAAGACGGCGGCGCGCCAGGAGGGCGGCGGCGGGGCTGTACCCTTCGTAAAGCCGCATTCAAGGACCACACTGCCATCCGATAAGCCCCTCACCGCACCCACCCACCCACGCACCCCATAGGCCTCGGGAGTCAGGGAGCGCGCAGTGGCAAGGTTAAGACCGAATGTGAACAGGCGGGTGATAACCTGCGAGGCTGCAGGCCGAAACAATGCATGCGGCGGCGTTGGGCAGAGCTTCTGGCGTGCAAGGGAAATCGGTTGGCGCTCCACTCACCGACCAGTTGCAGGAACCCTGCGATCATGTGGGCTAGCTTTCCATTTTCTGACACAGTTTGGATCAACACGAGAGCTCATGGGCGTAGCGGGCAGTACAGTGGGGTGTAGTGCTATGAGATTCGCCGCCGGACCCCACCCTAGCTGTCGATCGTCGTCCGACACTTGTTGCCGCCGGGGAAGCCGCTGCAGTCATTTCCCGCGGGCTCACCCTCGCCGCCCCAGTTTCCATTTAATCCCGGCGGCTCCTGCAGGATCCTGCGCTTCCCCTTTGCCTTTTCAGTTTCGGCATCGCGATCCAGCATGTCTGTGTGCCCCGCAGGTGAGCTAACCGCCCGACAGTTGCCCCGCGTCGCTTCAGTGATGCTGGTCAGTTCCATAATGCAGCAAAAGAGGCTACTGTAGAGAGATGCAAGGCCTCAGATGGGCTGCGGGCGCATCCCTCACAAGCGCCTGCTGCCGCCACCGCCTGCTCGTTGCTGGGGGCCGCACGCCGGGCGCCGCACGGCCGCTTCTCCAACAGCTTGCTCCCTCGATGCACATTCATGGGAGAGCAAGAATAATGAATGTCGAAAAGAAGGGTGGCACGCGAGGTTTTGCCCCTATGGCATGCCCGACACACTGCGGTTGCTGCTGTGAGCTGACAGCACTTTGCGTGCGCCCGCCCACCGCCCACTTGCAGTCTCTCCTGATTTCCGCCAGCGTGTTAGGAGCGGGCTTCTTGGGCTGAGGAGCGTAAACCACATCAGCAAGGTTTGCTCTGATGTGGAGGCATCTGTGGCATTTTATCGCGACTGCTTGGGCTTCATGCTGGTGAGTGAAGGATTGGGCAGAGTGAGTGAAGGTGCGCCGCACCTGTGCGGGACCCGCTCTCCTTGCGTCCACCCCTGCCCTCGGCCCACCTTGCTTTTACCCCTGCCCTGTACTGCAGGTCAAGCGCCCCGAGACTTTCAATGAAACTTTTGAGGGAGCATGGCTGTGGGGCTACGGCATGGGGCTGCACCTCATCAAGGGCCAGCCCGTCCCGCGCAGCAAGCACATTGACCCGAAGAGCGACCACCTGTCCTTCCAGGTATGGCAGCAGGGGTGGGAAATAGTGCTGGCCGGCTGCCTGCCCTGGGCTGCGGGTTCTTGCTCTTTTCGTCGGCTGCCTCAGGCTGCCCTGCTCCCTCCCCGCTACCACCACCTGTGTGTAGGCTGACTCCCTCGAGGAGGTGGAGGTGCAGCTGCGTGCCCTTGGCATTCCCTTTGTGCGGCAAGTGGTGGTGGAGGATGGAATTGAGATGTCCCAGCTGTTCTTCCACGACTGTGACAACAACATGATTGAGGCAAGCCCACCCTGGGCCAGCTGGACGTTGCGCAGCTTGGGTGTTGCACACTTGGGTGGGGCAGCCGGAAGTTGCTCACCGCGCACACCACTGCTCACCGTGCCCACCCCCGGCCTGCAGGTATGCAACTGCGACTGCCTGCCCGTCATCCCGCTGGAGCTGGGCTGCCCCCAGGCCTGCACGTTGGGCCATGCTTGCGCATCCAAGACGTGCGGCCAACACCAGCCTAGCTGCAGAAGCCATGCAGATGAGGACGAGGAGATGAGCAGCGATGGGTCCCGTGACAGCCTTGACAGCAGCCGCTCCGAGCACCACCACCACAACCCGGACCAGTTCCACACCGCCCTGGCACTGCTGCCAGCCAACAGGTGACATTCACCAATCCATCAAACAGGTACACCCTACGAGTCACCTGCAAATTCATGACTTGATTGAAACGCACCAACACATGGCGCTCGACTGTCCCTCCTGCACAACAGTGCCCTGTGTTCAGTCGCCCCAGTTTTCCTTCAAATGCCCCCTTCTTTCTTGACACACGGCTCAGCCTACGACAGGCTGAGTGCAACTCGCTGCCAATAGCCTGCGTGCTCCCGTTTTCCGCGCCTGGCCATGAGTTAGTTTTGTTTGCCTATCTAGCTCGCTCTTCCGCTTCAGCTGTGCTGGTGCCTAGTGAGACCACACATAAACACGCACACACACCTTGGCAATTGTCTACTTGTTTCCTGTCGCCGCTTGCGGCTACATAGCGTCCTCAACAGTCTACCTCATGAGGCAAGTTATAGGCCGCACAAGTCGGATGGCTCTGAGAGCCACTTGTAATGCACAGGCAGATTCATGCTGGGGAGCTAGCCTGGATTCATGATGGGGTGACCATCCAGGTCATAAGGGAGCCCTTCCGTGCACCGACCGTTTTTCGCCGCAGGTGGAACCAAAACTCAGCAGGCTGCTGCATCAAGGCTGGTTGCACCTGCACTGCGACCATGGCGCATGGCGGATCGTCCGCGGCAGGCTGCTCCTGGACAGAGGTGATTGTGAAGCCGCGGTTATTCACCAGCGTGGCTAAGCGAGTTGCAAACATGCCCTGAAAATGATCCTCGTGGTACCTGAACAGAATAGCAGAAGCAAAGGGATTCAAAAGGGGGCCTGCACAACCACCAAGAGTGCACCATATCAGGGAATGTGCCGGCCAACTCACAAATCTTTCGGGAAGCCAAAGTACATTGAAGGATCAAGTCCACCAACATCAAAAGCAAATGCGTATGCGGTTTTGATTCTGCAGCAAGCAGGGGAAGGTGTACGAGTCAGATTCCCTTTGGTTGTCTTGTCTAGTTTCAGTTTAAAGTGGGTATTGAGGTGCCTAAATGCCTCCCTGCGCACCCATGGTTGCTCCACGGCTGATCGTTCTTGCGTAAAGCTTCCAGCTGCACCCGAACGCAGGCCTCGGCGCTCAAGTCTGGGGAAGGCAGCACCAGAGGGTTGTCCACATTCTGCGGATTGCTCCTATAGGATGATGAAGCGGCTGCTACCCTGCAATAGCGGCCGCATTGTCTGGCGGCGGGGGTGCCGCTGCGCGCTGGCCGCCGTCGATTTTGCCGCCGCTCCTGCTGCCACCCACGCTGTTGTGCAGGGCTTCCGGCGACACAGGACGCCCAGCAATTTTCCACTCTGCTGCCCGCTGCAGGGCTTGTCGAGAAGCCCATGTGGGCTGCCACCGCAGACGGGCAGGGCCCAGCAGGGCGCTTGCCCAGATCGATCGAAAGTGCGCAAGCTAGCAACAGTTCGAAGCCTGAATGCTCGGCAGTCTCAGCCCAGCACGGCAGTCTCAGTCAGCCACCTGTGCATGGGAAAATTGCATGCATCGCCTCCCAGCTCACTTCCAGAAATCACCCCGTCGCTGGAGAAACAAACCAGCCTCCACGCAGCCCTGGTGTTGGTCCGCGCTCCCCCCCTCTTTGCTGATTGAGGCGTGCTGCTCGCCGCCGGGCAGCGATGGCGGACACCAAGGCGGTTACCCAGCTGGGGCCGCGATTGATCGGGCGCCTCACGCCAGAGCTCATCCTGCGCAGCCCCCAGTTCATGTCCTGCGTCAATCAGTATGAGATAGACCTGAGGGCAAACAGGGTTGCGGCGATAGAGAACCTGGGGGCCACAGAGGTGCGCGCAGTGGTGGCGGCACCTGGGGCACGGCAGCGCTCGCCCACACCTGCACCGCGCGCCCTGCCGTCTGCGTTGCTGCATGTGCGGCTTCTGCACCACCCTGCACCCGCCAGCCCTACCCACCCGGGCCCGCTGCAGAACCAGTTTGATACCATAGACCTGTCGGACAACTCCATAGTGCGGCTAGAGGGCTTCCCCAAGCTGCCCAGGCTGCAGTGCCTGTACCTCAACAACAACAGGATCAACCGCATCGCGCGCAACCTGGAAGGTGCGAGCAGCCGCCTCCGACCCTGCAGTTGCTGGCCAGATGGGGACCCCACCACAGCTGCAGCACGCCGGTGACGGTCGTACCACGTAGCTGCAGCACCGCACCAGCGGAGTTGGCCACTGGCATCCCCTTGCCTGGCAGCATGGACAGGCAGCTGCCGACAGCAAAGCACTGTGGTGAACAGGGTCGTGACTAGCTGCAGCCACCCACCCGCTGCAACCTCTGCCCCAACCACCCCTGGTACAGAAGCGATACCGCGCCTCGAGTGGCTGGTCCTTACGAACAACCGGCTGACAAACCTGGTGGTGAGTGTTGCAGTGTCTCCAGCTGCAGCCGGGAAGAGGGCAGCAGCGATAGACTGACAGCCCTGCTCCTCATGCCCTTTGCTGCTGAGCGTGGCGCTGGGTGTGTCTGCTTGTGTGTGCAGGACCTGGACTCGCTGTCCACGCTGCCACGGCTCAAGTACCTCAGCCTGCTGGACAACCCCGTCACCAAGCAGCCCAACTACCGGCTCTACGTGGTGTCGCGCTGCAAGAAGCTCAAGATGCTGGACTTCAGGAAGGTCAAGCAGAAGGTGCGGAGGGGAGGCCATGGAGGAGCGGGGCCGCAGGGAGAGCCGGGCCACAAATGGAGAAGGTTGCTGGCAAGTGCTTCTAGCAAGTGGTGTTGTCGCGCCCGGTCAGCTCAATACCTTGACTGGGCTTCCCGACGGGTGCAGGAGCGGGAGGAGGCTGCGCGGCTGTATGGCGAGGCGGCGGAGCAGGCACCGCAGACCTTTGAGCCGGAGGAGGAGCTCAAGCAGGTGAGCGGGTGATGACACGTTTTGGTTTCATCGGCGTGTTGCTTGCTCGCCTCGCTCCCTAGAGCCAGCAGCTTGCTCAAACCTAGCTGTTGCCCACGATGCCGGCCGTCTTGCCCAAACCTGCAGGCTGAGGCGGCTGTTGCTGCTGCACGGCCGGCGGCAGAGGAGCCCAGCGTGCGCAAGGGCCCCACCCCCGAGCAGATCACGGCCATCAAGGCGGCCATTGCGGCGGCATCCACGCTGGAGGAGGTGCGGCGCCTGGAGGATGCGCTGAGGACAGGGCACCTGCCCTCCGAGATCAGCATTGGCGACGGCGGCAACAAGGAGGGCGAGGCGGCGGCTGCTGCCAATGGCGCGGCAGCCATGGAAGAGGGCTGATCACCTCAGTGCGTGTTTTGCCAGGCACAGTCAATTGCAGATGTGCCCTGCGCTTACACATGCCAGCAGCTGAGATTGACATGTCCCTCTCTTCTTCAACTTGCTGCTCCTTCCACGTGACTGCTCCACTTTCAGTTTTACCAGTATGCACCGTTCACACTCGGAGGCCACCCAGCTGGCAAAGAAGGGGCTGGTTAAAACTGCGCGTTCCCCAGGATGTGTGGGCGGTTGGATGCCCCAGCACTGCATAATCGACGCAGTGCCCCGCCAGGTGGCTGCCCTTCTTCTGGCGCAGCAATGTGACCTGGTTGCTAGAATTCTTGTAGACAGATGAGGACTTCCCTTCTCATGCAGAATAATGCCCCAGAGGTCGAGTTGAGGAATGAACAAAGCACATGCATCATCGCTGCCCAAACTGATCGCTGCCAGCCGAGCCAGCTGGCATCCAAACTTGCTGAATGCCAGCTGCGGCCGCCGACTGCATCAATGTGGCTGGCAATGCCTGATCCTGGTCACAGCACGTTGCCGTTGCCATCGTGAGGTCCAGCCCTGCGTGTACTGTCGAGGCCCGTGATGAGGAGAGGGGCGAGGGGTCTCCAAGGGAAGAGAGGGAGCTGGATGCCTCGTCTTGCTTGGACCAAGCACTTGGTTCTGGCAGCTCGGGAGAGGAGAGCGAGCGCACAAGCTGCAGATTGAGATTGGGCACTGGTGGCCTGCGATGCTGCTGCTCCTGACAGCATGCTGCGTCCTCCGCAGGGCTGGGGGCCGTCCTGAAAGGGGACTGGTCGCCAGCAGAAGTAGGGGTCTGGTCCATGGGTGTAGCAAAGCACGAGTCCCCTTCTTCTTCCGGCTGCGCTGCCTTCCTGCTGTTGGTGCCATCAGCGCTCGAGATGGCAAGCTGCATCGATGCTTGCCGCAGAGCTGGCAACCCCAGCTGTTGTAGGCCCCCGCCGCCCCAGCTGCTGCCCATCAGCGTCTTGATGGGGGCAATTCGAACGCGAGCCAGTTCGAGCTGCAGCTGCTTCGCCGTCATCTCTACCAGCAGGGGCGTGGGTGAGCTGCAGCGGACACCGCTGCTGCATGCTGGCGATTTGCAAGCGTTGCTGGCTCTGCTGGGAAGCTGCCGCATACTGTTGATGGGCAACGGCAGCAGGGGTGCCCGGATCACTTGCTCCGCCTCGGGCACCTGGGCTGCGCCTGCACATGGGCCCACATGGCATCCTGGCCAGCAGGCTGTCTGCACAGCTGCATGTTCTGTCTCCACTGGGTAGCCTACCTGCACAACTTGGTGTACCAAGGATCCGCGACGCAGGACTTGCTCTTGCCGCAAGGTGCTGAGCTCGCTACGAGCCGCCTGCAGCTGCTGCTGCGCCTCGGCCAGCCGATTCTGCAAGGCCAACATCTGCTGCTGGTGCCGCTCATCAGCAACAGCGACTGCGGCCGCTGCATCCGTTGCGCCCTGCTGAAGCTGCTGCTGCACGGCAGCCGCATGCTCATCTGCAGCAGTCGCGGCCCGCTGCTTCAGCTGCTGCACTTGCCAAGCCAGCAGCTCAGTCTGTGCCGCTGCCCGCTGCAGCTCTGCCCGCAGCTCTTCCAACTCCTCCAAATGGCTGCCAGCATCCAGCTCGTCCTGCACTCACCCCGCCGTTGCATTGCATTGCTACTAGCATCACATGGGGATGCAGGATGCTGGGAGAAAGATGGAGCAAATGAGGCTTTCTCATCCTGTGCGCCCCCCCACACCCCGCCGTTGCCCCCAACCCTGGCCCATGCACCTTGAGCGTGGCCGCTGCGAGGGCTTCTTCCCGCAGGGCCTGCACCTCGCCGTTCTTATGTGCTAACTCCCGCTCCGCCATGTACAGCCGCTCCCGCAGGCCTGCCTCTGCTCGCCGCGCCGAGTCCACGGCCAACTGATGCTCTGTGGCTTGTGCACGCAGTGAGGAGACCTCTTTCTCAAGAGCTGCTGCAGCACACTGCTGCTGCTGCAGTGCACCATGCATTGCTTGCTGGGCTGCACGGCAGGCATGAAACACAGCATGAACCCAGAAGCACTCAGATTGCCGAAAAGGCAGGTGACACTGGAAGGCAGCAACTGTGGATATCAAGGTGCATATCACATGTTGCCTAGGCTAAAAGAGCGGCTCCACGGCCCACCTTGCATCTGCGAGTCCAGCAGTTCTGCGTTTAACTCCTTGAGTCGCTCAATCTCCATCCGGGCAGCTTCCAGCAGTGTATGCTCTGCCCATGCTTCCAGGCTGGTCGCACAGCTGCCGTCTGTCTGGCACCACCCATCCTGCACCTCTGTCGGCAGCTGATGGGATGGCTCCTCAAAAAGTGCTTTCCAGGCAGAGCTATCCAACGGGTCAGATGGCTGCATCGAGAGAGGGGCGCCCATCTGCTCCTGCATTGAAGAAGATGCTGCCACCGTCGTGTGCTGCTGCCGCTGTGCCTGGGCCAGCTGCTCCTGCAGGTCACGCCGGTCGGTATCAAACTGCAACCGCAAGCGCTGCACCTCGCCCTCATACTTGCGCATCAGCTGGCCCAAGCCCCAGGTCTGCTCCAGCTCAGCTATGCGCAGCGTCTGCCAGTCCATCTGCTGCCGAGCCTCGGCTAGCTTAGCCTCCATTGCATCCGCCCTGCATTACAAGCAGGCCGTGTAGGGTCAGTCATTAACCTGAGGGTCAGTCATGAACCAAAAGGCGGCAGCGCCGGTGACAAGGATGTACAGCTTTTGCAGGTTAAGAGCGCTGTGCAGCACCATTCCCACCTGGCAGTATCCTGCATGCTTGCAGCCTGTGCAGCCTCTAGCTGCTGCCTGAGCTCTGCTGCCTCTTCCTCTGCTGCAGCTGCACGAGACCTTGCGCTAGTAGCTGCTGCCTGCGCGCTGGCTGCCTCTGCCAGTGCAGCCTCTGCCTGCTTCGAAGCAGCAGCACCCATGCTCGTGCAAGTCCCCGCCACCTGCTGCAGCTCTGCCTGTAACTGCTCTACCTGCCGCGCCCTTGCCTTGGCCACCAGCCTGCTCTGTGTGGCCTCCATACACAACCGCTCCCGCTCCTTGGCCTCAGCCTGTGCGGCCGCCACCAGCTGCTGGTGCAGCATCGCCACATCCGACTGCAGTGCGTCCCTTTCGGTTGCAAGCTCTGCTATGCGGCACGCCTCCCTGCCCAGCTCCTGCCTGGCCTGCGCCAATAGCCTGCCATCCATCGTGACAGAGGCGGCTGCGGCCAGGCGTTCCGGGGCAACTGCACCGCTGGCAAACTGCAGATCCCGCACTTGCGCCGCCAGCTTGCGGTTCTCGGCCTCACAGCCCTGCAGCCGGCTCTGCGCCTCTGCTAGCCGTCCTGCCACGTTGACTAGAGCAGCCTCCTTCTTGCACATCGCCACGCGCAGCGCCGACAGCATGGACAGCAGCTGCTCCTCGTCTGCGGTGGCAGCGGCCGCCGTCTCATGGCTGGGCTCTGGCTGCAGCCCGCGCTGCCTGTCGTCAGGAGGCGAGGCGGCGCTGGCGGAGCTGGGGGATGAGGTGCCGACTTGCCACGGTTGTATTTCCGGGAAGGGCAGCAGCGGTGACGCGGGTGTCGGCGCCGCGGGCGGCGAGCCCCAGCGCTCGGCCAAGGCGCCTGTGCCGCTGTAAGGACGCCCTCTCATCACCCATGACATGCTTGCACTGCCTGCTTACCCAGGCCCCTGCAGAGCGGCAACCGTGCGCCTTCCACTGCGTGTTTGAGCGCAACGCAGAGCAACGAGAGGTTAGCCCTGCTGCTGCCCGTGACCGACGATCGATCGCTGCAATCACAGCAACTAGGGCGAGTTGCCTCTCCGGGACCCACAGAGCCTGTGGGCCAGGTTGCAGTCGATTATCCAATGTCTGTGCCCTCACAGACTTGGGCATGAGAAATTTTGTTCAATTGAGCTGTGGCATGCATTGCTGGCACCAGCCACCGAGAGTTTGACCAGTGGTCAACGGCCCGCTGAGGTGGCCGCCCAGCATAGGCTCCTCGTGTGCTGCAGCATGAGCTCTCGAGCCTTCTGCAAGTTTGTGTTACATGGGTGAAGCGGTGCAGGGGCTGTGGCGGCCAGAGGGCGCCCTGCCCAGCTGGCCGCCCCTGCTGCGCGGACCGGCCCTCCTAATGTTGGATGGCCGATTTGCGCGGGGATGCCTTTTCTTGCAGCCTTACATCGTAAGCTCCATAATGGCAGACACAATGTCGCCATCCGCGTTTTTGAGCGCCTTAACCGCCTTGCTGCGGCTGACGCCCGCCTGCGTCATGACCAGCTCAATGTCCTTGGACTCCACGCCACTCTCGTCCACCTCCTCGCCGTCCTCCTCCTCTTCCTCCTCCGGCTCCGCGGCGCGCGTGGGCGCTGGGCCCGCACCACCACCGCCCATGGCCTCGGCCATCCTGCAGCAGCGGCGGCGAGGCGAGCAGGGTCAGGCACGGGCCAACCAGCTCATGCGTGCCTGCTTCCTTGCACGGCAGCAGCACTGCCCAGAACCATGCCCGCGTTGTCGCCCTGCGAAGCTATGCTTGTGTGATCCTGCGCCTCTCAACCTGCTGCTTGCAGTGCCTGCCGCTGCCAACACGTCGGCACACGCACCGGAACTGCTCTGCTGCTGCGCCGGCTGCCTGGGCGCTCAGGTCCTCGATCTTGGCCTCGCCAAAGATGACATAGGTGTCGGAGGAGGGGCTCTTGTACACGTCTGGCTTGTTGATCACAAACAGGATCTGCAGGCACATTTGCGCCCGAGGCGTGGCAAGCAGCATGCAGGTCAGCAGCAGCATCTTTGCACAGCGGAGCGGCATGAAGGTGCCAGGGGGGGAAGGGCAGCAGCGCGAATGCCAATCGACAGCACCCGTGCGCAGTGGCATGAACGTGCCAGGGGGAAGGGCAGCACCGCAAGCCCCAATTGGCACATGCAACAGGAGCTACATGCATAAACTGGTCAGCATGCTGGTTCTGCATATGCCAGCAGCAGGTGGCGGGATGCGGGACGGCCTGTATGCGCTCACGTTCTTGCTCTTCCTGATCTGCACGCGCATCACGCCGGGCACAGGCTTCATGCCCAGCTTCTGCATGGCCTTGCGGCTCTTCTTCTCTGAGCGGCTCTGCTTGCCGCGGGCGCCGCCCTCCTCGCCTGCAGCGGCGCAGCGAGGCGGGGCAGGGGCCGGTCAGCGGGCCCCAGCCACTCCGAATTGCGCCAATCGCCACCCTGGCAGCCTGTCACGCAGCAATCGTGCTGCCAAAGACCCACCGCCCTCGTCCAGGTCCGGCACGTCGTCCTCGTCGCTGCTAACATCGTCGTCCACATCCTCCTCCACGTCCTGCAGGACCGGCAGCCCCGTGCGTGAGCCCCCACGCCCAGCGACATGTCATGCAGCTCCCCAAGGACATCACCCACCTCCACCGTCTCGATGGCCTCGGCCTCTGCCTTGGTCATGGTTCAACCTGGCTAGCAGCGACTGCAGCCCAGTGCAAAGAGGCCGCAGCGCGCACAAGCCGGCCCCAATGTCCCACACCTGGGACCACTGGGCATAGCATGCGTCGGGGGCTCACGGCTGCGGCCTTCTCCAATTTTGACAGCGTGCGATCATACAGACCTTTGGTTTGAGAGCTGCCCCCACCCACCTCGCCGCTCCACATGGACCAAGCGCTGAGTTTGTGAGCTTGTTTCGGGGTGAGCCCCTAGCGGATTTCGTCGAGGTGTCAAGCGATGGATCAGGCTGGCGCGGAGCAGCAGCAGCAGCAACCAGCTGCTGCTGCCGCCACCGCCGCCGCCAACCCGGGGCCATCCCCCTATGGACGGGCCAGGTGGGCTGATTTTTTCTGGAAGAGCAGTTTCTAGGGGTCGTGGAATGCTTAGCGCCTTGCTGAGCAGTGCTGGGGGATGCCACACCTGCCTTCATGCCTGCCGCTACCGTTGCTGCAGGTCGCCACATGTGCCGCTTTCTGCCGGAGGGCCGCCCCCACTGCAGCAGGCTCGGCCGCCGCCTCCCGCTGGGCCACCGCCCCCCATGATGCCGCATTATGGGGCAGGGCCCCCGGGGATGCTGCCTCCTAGGGTGCGTACTTTCACACAGCGTGCTGGTGTCTGCTCAATCCCTGGTGCAATCAATGGTCTGGACCAGTCCAGGCACCAGCAGCCGCACTGGGGAGCTGACTGGCGCCAGTTGACGGCTCTGTTGCTGCAGGGCATGGCACCGTATCCTGGTGCCCGGCCACCGTTTGTGCACCCTGGCTACATGCCCCCAGGGGGATTCCGCGGCATGCCACCCCCCGGGATGCCACCCCCCGGCTACATGCCACCACCGCACGGCCCACCAGGGCGGCCGGGCATGCCACCCATGCCGTCCTTCCACCCTGGACACCCCCCTTTTGGGCGCCCTCCACCGATGGGTGCGCGGCCAGGCCCTCCTGGCGGCGGCAGTGGCAGGAGCAAGGAGGAGATGGAGCGGCAGAAGCGGGCGTCAGAGGCGTGGATTGCACACAAAGCTGGAGATGGGTCAGAAAGTGTGTACTACTACAACCAGCTGACAGAAGAATCCACATGGGAACGGCCTGAGGGGTTCAAGGGCGATGAAGGCAAGGCCAGCAGCAACCCTGTGCCGGTGTCATCAGGTGGGCGCGGCGCACTATCTGCGGCTGCATGGATGGGCATGGCTGTTCTGCTTGCGCTGTAGTGTCGTTGGCTGCAGTGGCAGCATCCCATGCAGAGCCAACGTACAGCTGACTGATCCCAGGCGGGTGGCACGGCTTAGGAGCTCTGCTGCTGCCCCGACACCACCGCACGCGCGTCATCCCCTACCTTGCACCATGCAGAACGCGTGCCGGGCACCGACTGGCTGGAGGTGGTGTGTGACGATGGCAAGAAGTACTACCACAAACCGCAGACCGACGAGACGACCTGGCACGTGCCTGCTGAGGTGGAGGCCAAGCTGAAGCTGAAGCTGGACCCGGTCAGGGCCAAGATGCTGGAGCGGGCGCGCGCCATGGGCGCCCAGCTGGCGCCGGAGTATCGCGAGGGTGGGTGGGACTGCGCTCTGCCTTGTGCTGCCACCACCCTATTTTGTGGTGCCGGGGGGGGGGGACATGATGGCTGCAACCGTTGAGCGGGCTGGCCGCCTTGTCGAGGCCTGGCTGTTGGCTTGCGCATGACAGTCCTACTGCTGCTTCTGCGTGCTCTACCCTGCAGCTGGGGGCGGCGGAGGCGTGGAAGTCGCGGTTGATGAGGATGTGACCTTCACAGAGGACGACATTGGGCGGGAGGAGCCGCCAACCGGGGGCCCATCAGCTCGCGGGGGGCCTCCGCCGCCGGGCATGCACCCACCACCGCCCCAGCAGCAGCAGCAGCAGCAGCACTTCTCACTGGGCATGCCACTGCCGCCAGGTGGGCTGCCACCACAGCACCAGCAGTTACGCCCCAGCATGCCACCGCCACCCTTTCAGCAACACCCAGGCATGCCGCCGCCGCCCCAGCAGCACCCAGGCATGCATCCGCCCCAGCAGCGCCCAGGCATGCTACCGCCCCAGCACCTGCAGCACTACCCGCCAGGCATGCCGCCCCCAATGCGTGGCGGGCTGCCGCCCCCGCTGGCGATAGCGCCTCCGCCAGCTGGCCAGCCAGGGCAGCACCAAGGCCTCCCTCCCCTGCACCAGCAGCAGCAGCAGCAGCAGCCGCCGCCGCCACAGGAGCCGGCGCGTGTGAAGACAGGGTATGGTCCCGACGGTTACATGGCCAAGGAGGAGGCAGTGGCGGCGTTCAAGGCACTGCTGGAGGAGAAGGGGGTGCACGCCTTCTCGCGGTACGAGCGGGAGCTGCCCAAGCTGCAGCCCGACAAGCGCTTCAAGGTGGGGCGGCGGCCACAGCGAAAGGGTGGCACGTTCTTGTTCTCAGGCTCCTGAGCTGCTGTTCACATGCTCAATGTCTGGGCCCCCTTGTTGACATGTCTGCAGTACCTGCCCACCATTGCGGAGCGCAAGGCGGCATTTGGGGAGTTCTGCAAAGAGTCGGTTGGCAAGAAGAAGGGAGCAGCCGCAGCGGCAGGCGGCGCCGGCATCAAGGGCAAGGGCGCTGGCAGCAGCAGCAAGGCCGCTCCAGCAGTGGCAGCGCCCCCTCCTGCAAAGACGCCAGCCACCGAGTTTGAGCGTCTGCTCGAGGAGATTCAGGCGGCCTGCAGCAGCAGCATAGTGCCTGCACCTGCTGCGGGGGAGGAAGAAGGGCAGCTGTTGCCAGCCTGGGATGCCCGCCTGCATCTGGAAGACCTGCAGGAGCGGTGGGGCGAGGACCCACGCTGGCAGCGCTGCCCCGCCGAGCAGCGGCAGGTTGCATTTGATCAGCTGCTGGCGCCAGTGCGCGCGGCAGCGCGCAAGCAGCATGAAGCAGACTACCGGGCGTTGCTGCGTGAGGCGGGTGTGACGGGTGCCTCGCGCTGGTCCCGCACCAAGGATGAGCTGTCGGCTGACCCTCGCTACCTGGCGCTGCCACGTGATGACAGGTGCGGGGACCAAAAGGGACTATCCCCGCACCTGCGTAGTGTGGGCGGGCACGGCATGGGCCTCCTGTTCTTGACAACGAGGGGCGGCCGCAGGTCATGGACCACCATGGTGCCATAGCTCGGCTGGTGGCGCCCAGATGGCCGCCGCCTGCCCTGCCCGTGCACCCCGAGGACCCTGCAGGGAGGGCCTGTTCAGGCTGTATGTTGCTGAGCTGGCCAAGGGGGAGGAGGTGCTGCGGGAGCGGGAGCACAAGCAGCGCGAGGCGGAGCGGCGGCTTCAGACGGAGCTGCGAGTGGCGGAGCAGCGGCGGCGGCAGGTGCGGGAGTGGTTCAGTGCATGGCTGCATTGGCAGGGGCATGCGTCTCGGTGCGACAGGGCCATGCCGCGCCTAGGGGCGTTGCCTGGTCCGCTGCACCACAGCCACCCGTCCTCTCCTTAACCTCTGCTCCCTTGCCCACACACCCCTTTGCCCTGCAGGCCGCCCATGCCGATGCGCTGGCCCACTACCGTGCACTGCTGCAGGAGCTGCATCTGGGGCCTGATGCGCGGTGGCGCGACTATAGCGAACGCATCATGCGTGATTCGCAGGTGATTGAGCAGCCTGTGCTGGGCAGGACGTGTGCAACAGGAGGCGGTGTGTGTGGAGGTTGGACGGCGGCTTGGCTGCGCTTCTGGGCTTTTGCAGCCCTTGGCGCCCCACCCCCATGTCCGGTCACCCCAAGTGTCCGGTCTGTGTGTGCAGGGGCGGGGCTCCAACGCCGCCCTGGAGCGCGGCGAGGCGGAGTCTGTGTTTCGGGAGCATGTGGTGGCGCTGCAGGAGGAGGCTGTGGAAGGGTTCCTGGACCTGCTGGATGCGGAGATGAAGGTGGGTTGGGGGGGGGAGGCACATGTGGAGGGCCCGGTGTGTCGGTCAGCTGATTTTGTCATCTCGAAGAGGTAGAAGATAAGTGCAAGACAGGGGACCAGAGCTTTTGAGATTGCCTGCCACACGCACACACCAGACCCCTTGCCTACTTAAACCCCATGCCCGCATGTCCTGCCTGTGCCTGTCCACCCTGTGCTACAGCCGTTGATCCCCAGCCGCGAGCAGCAGCAGGCATCAGGGCTTCCCAAGCCGCTGTTGCGCTGGCGGGATGCGGAGCCGCTGCTGGAGGATGACCCGCGCTTTGGGGCGCTTGCCGAGGAGTATAGGTGTGGGTGGTTGGTGGTGGCAGTGGTGGCAGGGTGCTGTATGTGGCTGCGTGGTCATGATGGTGGCGTAATGTACAAGAGCCTGCATGGTGTGGCTGACATTCCTGAGATTCCTTACTGGCTGTGTGCGCTCATGTAAACATGATGGCTGTGGCTGCATTGCTGGGTGCATCTGATTGTGTGCAGAGAGAGGGTATGGCGGCAATGGATTGAGGACGAGCTACACAACAGAGACCACCCTCTGGCCCGTCCTCGCACGCAGCGCCGCTTGATGGGCGGCGGGGAGGGCGAGGAGAAGCAGGCGTCGGGCATCCGACAACCCCGCCCCTTGCTCAACGATGGCGGGATGGACAAGGCGTACCTGCGGGAGTACATTGTAGCGGACTCCAAGCGCCAGCGCCGCGAGTGACATTGGGCTTGACTGCACGACCCTCTGGCCCAATTGCTTTCCTCACCACGCTCTCTTCTTGTGCTCCAAGACTCTACACACTGAAACTCTTACATAGTATTGTAAGGGGAACAAAATGAAACTTTATTATTTGGATTTGTGGCATCCAGCTGGTAAGGGAGGGAGTAACGTAAACAACTGAACCAAGCACTTGCTCGCGTGCTGTGCAATTCGCACGAAGAGGAAATGGATGCCACGTGGCGCCCTGCTGGAGGGCGCCACCTCTCTGCAACCGCATCACACCCACTTCCCGATGACGGCCATGACAGTGACGCCGCCCCAGAAGGACACAAAGCCCATGGCCTGCACCCACCACCGCCGGCTGCGCAGCCATGCCGACTGCGTCATCAGCGGGTTGATCAGCTCCACCAGCACCACGTAGATGAGGATGCCGGTGGATATGGAGTCAAAGATGCCCTCCACCATCAGCGTGGTGGTGGAGTTCTTGTTGAACGACTCGCGCATGCCGATGCCTGCGGGTGGGCGGGCGGGCGAGTGAAGCGAGACAGTGAGGGGGCAAGTCATGCCACTTGGGAGCAAGGGAGGGGCCAGGGGATGTGCCGGTGGCAGCACAAGGCAAGGCACAGCGGGTGCTCCAGAGCAGCCCGTGCGGGTGCTCCCCAGCAGCCACCACTCACCAATGGCGATGCCTATGGGGGTGGTGACGGCGTATGCCAGGCCCATCAGCATGCTGCGCAGTGCAGTCATGCCCGAATCCACCACGGCGGAGCCGATGGCGAAGCCCTCGAAGAACTGGTGGAAGGAGAGCGCGACGAGTAGGGTGTTGAAGGCGCTGCCGCCCGTCACGCCCAGCGTGATGCCAATCAGCACTGAACAGGGAAGGAGAGAGAGCACGCTCTGAGGCTAAAGTTGGCAAACCGGCAAGAGCTGGTCATTCAGCGCGCCAGAACTGCACTGCAGTCGAGCTCCTGTGCTTCCTGCGCACACCTGAGTGGAAGATGATGCCCGCCTCCAACAGGTAGATCCCCACAATCTGGGAGGGGTCATGCTTGTGCTTGATCAGCGTGTTGCAGCCCTTGCCATGCACAGCGCAAGTGTCTGCAGGTGGGGAAGGCACAATTGGCAGTCTGGGAGGGGCAGAGGCAAAGTAGAGCCAAGGAAGGGGCAGAACCGTCATACGCTTGCTTGCAGCCAGAAAGTCGGACGCCGCACTCACCGCCATCCTCGCCCAACTCGCTGCTCTCCGTCTGCCCCGCCTCCACGTCGCTGGGCGGCTCGCTGGCCGACGGCATGTTTCCGTGCAGCTGCGCCTTGCTGCTGTGCATGCTGACAAGGGCGCCCACCACCGCGGCGTGGTGAGTGTGCTTGTCGTGGTCGTGCGCCTGCTCGTGGCAGGCCTCCACGTGCGGCTGGCCGCCTCGCCGCTCAATGTACTTTTGGTAAGCCCCCTCTATCAGGAAGTCGATCAGCTGCATGAAGACGATGGAGATGGTGACAAAGAGGTAGGCCCAGGCCTCGTATGCATCGTTCCACGACTCGGGCAGGCAAGGGGAGGAGAGGTTCTGGGCCGCAGGGAGCAGCATGTGTCTGCGTGCGGGTGGGGCAGGGCAGGGTGGCGCTGTGGGAGGGCCAGCGAGGGCGAGGCAGGAGCTAGAGCCAGGCACGGGCAGACGACCAGGAGCCACCCTGCGTGCTTGCTCACATGAATGCCGTGGACAGAATGGTGCCAAAGCCTGCAGAGGGCGCAGAGATGCAGCTGGGTGGACAAACGGTGGCAACAGGAGACCCGACGGCATTCGCAAGGTGCATCGAGATGGCGGGCGGCCACCGCTGCCGGGCCCAACTCACCAAAGAAAGTGCCCATCTTGATGACCGCCATCACGCTGCCGCTCTTGCTGGAGATGTGGAGCACCACGGGCAGCAGCGCGCCCCCCGCGCTGACGCCCAGCAGGATGAAGACGGAGCCGATGTGCAGGCCCAGGTTGTAGTCCTCGCTGGCCTCCATGCTGCACACGTCCTCCTTGGCCGCATCCACAGACCCCAGCTCCGCCGCCACCGCGGCTGCAAGGGGAGAAGGATGAGGGAAGGGGGTTCAGGTGGGCGATGAGCAGGCAGCGGGCTGGACCAGTGGCAACTTCAGAGGCACGCTGCAGAGGTGGGGAGGCGAGTGCGGCACACCGAACTCCATGATGCTGACGCCGTGCGCATGGCCGCTGTGGTCGTGCGCGGCGTCCTCGTCATGCGCATGTGCGTCGCCAGCTGCGTCTTCGGCGTGGTCTGCATGCTCCCCTTCGGGATGGTCTGCATGCTCCTCTTCCAAAAGGTCGGCGTCAGCAGCGGCGGCAAGGTCGGCCTCCTCCTCGGCGAGCTCCTCTCCCTCCTCATGGGCGTGCTCCTCTGCGGCCGCTTCCTCTTCGTGAGCATGCTCCCCTTCAGCGCCTTCTGCTGCGTGGTCCGCATCAGCAGCCTGGTTTGCTGCCGCACCCTGCACTGCACCGCCGGCTGCAGCTACCTCTGTAGCATGATCATGTTCGTGGTCGTGTTCCTCGGCAGGTGTCGCAGCGGCCGCGGGCGTTTCTTGCGCCGAGGCGGGGACGAGGGCATGCGTGCACAGGAGCAGCCCCGCCAGCAGCAGGACACCCCAGGTGTGCCTGGAAGCCATATTGCTGTGAATTTTAAGACCATCTGGCGTGCGGACAGCAGTGAGAGGTTTTTGGGGATTCGCCGGGGTCCCGGGAGTGCAGTCCCCATGGGCGATTGGTGTGCATGTTTTGTGGTGGTTGGGTGGGTGTTGCGGGCGGCTGGTTGGGGGTTGGGGGTTGGGGTGGGGGCGGCTGGCTGCGGCGAGCTGCGCCCTGGCGGCTGTTCCCAGGCCTGCGCATCGGCCGCCGACTGGCTTCGTGCCCCCGCCGTGCGTTCGACCCCGGA